GCATCACATATGATGAAATTTTTTCATAAAAATAAAAGAAAAATGTTTCTTGGATCGTTTCTAAATTGAAAGCCATTCGATAAAGGAACGTTATGCATCTCATTTTGCTCTATCAAATAAACTCATTCCAAAAATACAACTACTCTAAACTTATGCCAGTTAGTATAGATCTGATGTAGAGTCCTAAAATTAGTTTGTGTTTTTTATTCTATTATAAAAATTCTAGTTTTCGAATTAAAAACATACAATAGTTCAGAAAGGCTTTGATAAAATATATAATGTAGTCATACTTATCTTGCAAGGAGAAAAGGATTTTTGATCTCTTATAATCCCTATTTTTGTTTCTGCCATTATCTAGAATGTATTAAATCCATTATGTTTAAACTAAGAACTTTCTATCATGTTTTGAGAAATTCAATCATTAAATTATGATTTTTGTAGCGATCTAATGAATTTTATATTCAATGTGATAAACAATGAAATTCTTTTATTAATTAATTTTTATTTAGGTCGAGGTCCTTTATCATCGGATTGGTTTGAACAAATAAAAAAAATTGATCGAAAAGATTCTATAATGTGTGCTTATAAATTATGTCGAGCAGAATTTCGTTATTGGGGAATGCAAAGTAGATGTGAACGATTTATTCATGAAATAGGTAAATAAAAAAAAAATGAATAATAATTATAAATTTAAATGTAAGTTTTCTTTTTTTTTTTTTTCTAATATAATAGCTTTACGTAAAACAATATTACGAGCACATCGACAAGCATGGTGTTGGCAAGATGAATATCAAGGTTTAACATTAGCTGATATAAGACGTTTAGAAGATGAAACACAACATGAATTAAATAAACGTATGGCACAATTTCAAAATGAAAATATTCGTTTATCATTACAAATAAAAACTTATGAAGATGAAAATTTAACAAAATCAATTGATTCAACAAATGATATTAATCAATCTTTCCCTAAAAAACGAAGTCGACAAATGTCTATTGATAATATTAATGCTAGTAGACCAAGAATTAATTCATTTCCAGTACCACCATTACCAAAAGATGAAGCACATGATGATGAATTTTTTGATGCTGAATGTAAGTCTATTTCATATAATATTATTTTTGTTTTCTTATTCTCTACTGTTAAAAAGACAGATCAAGGTCATAAAAAAAAAATGCTATTAATTGCTCTCGGCATTTTGCCAGATGCAACAATAAGACATTTAAACGAAACAATCATAATGACAAATGTTTGTTGATCTTCAATATATGATTGTCTAATTCTATTTGATGTTTTTCTACATTGCACCCATTTATTCATGCTAACTATCTTGATATTCAAAGAATGATGAATATTTCAGACAATACATATATGAAACTATATTGTATGTTTGTTTACACAACTGTTAGTAAAGGTTGTTTCATAAATTCTGAGTCTCAACAAAAAATAGTTTATATATAAACAAAAAATAATCCCCTAGACCACTATATCACGTACTTAGAACGATGTTCTAAATCGTATATTATCAGATGACATTATCTATTTAATTAATAGTGATATACACAGAAGAAACATGATAATTAGAATTATGGGTACAGAAAATGGCCATATTCATACTCTAGATATTACTTATCGCTTTATATAATTGTGTTATATTACATACGATGAATCATTATTATATCATTGGATAATATGCCGCTTAAAACATTGTTCCTAAGTACTAGAAACTCATATACCAGATGTCCCAAAAGTCATGATAACTTAAGAAATGCCTATAACTCTCTTATTAATAAATATTTATCTAATATATTTTTTTTATTTAGTAGACAAGAGTAATAAGTTTCTTTTGTCATAAATACTGTTCAAACATATTACCTTTAACTTCAATACAAAAATATAGACGTTTTACAATTTTGAAAAAAAAACCTTCACATAAAGTTTCTTTATTTTCTATTTCGATTTCTATCGATATTCGAATCTTTAAATCTTGTACTGGTGTTCTATTGACATTTGTTTTAAAATGTTCTTATAAAAAGAAGTCCAATGGATATTGATTGACATGTTCTTTTTGTGAAGATATTTTTAAATGTTCAATTAGTTAGAGTGAAAAAGCGGCTTCTTTGAGAGAACTAATGACAATAAATATCACTTTATCGGAAAGATGGAGTCAACCACATCTTTTTCGTAGACGATCTATTGTCTGACTAAACAGAATTTTCGATGATAGGTGAATTGGAAGAAGTGGACTAACTAATATCATAAGCTTCTCGAACATCAGGTTTAACATCATTGGACCTCTTTCTATGGGGACATTTTAAATTAAACCAAAGTCGATTATTTCGACCGTTTGAAACTGTCTAAAACAGTGAAAAAACGATCGCCGTTGTTCCTCGAAACGTAAATGACGCCGTTTAAGATCGTTTCCGGCTAGCAACGATGAGTAGTATTATGGCAGTATTCTCGCCGTATAGTGTCTTATTTACATTACTTTTTTCTCGTTTTATGACTTTATTTATCTTTTGCCGTCGATTCTCAGTGAAGAGAAGCGCAATATTTCGTCGCCTCCACACCTTTGTTTCCGCTAGTATGTAAACGATCATCGTAATGACAGCCATTTTCAAGTCGTTTAAGGCAGTTTACAAGCCGTTCTATACGATATAGAAATGTCTACAACACAGCAGTACAAGATTTAGATGATTTAAAGATTCAAATATTAAAAGAAATCGAAGTAGAAAATAATGGAACTTTATATGAGTTTTTTTTTTCAGAAATTGTGAAACGTCTACATTTTTGTATTGAAGTTAAAGGTAATATGTTTGAACAGTATTTATGAATTTTGTCTTTATGAAAAAAAAAAATCACTACTCTTGTCTATGCATCCTACTAATTAGTTCTGTTTGAGAAAAAAAAAATGATAATTTTGCCCTTTTGATTTAATCATTAAATGAAATATGTCTATCTCTAGCTATTCTCGAAGGTATATCAAGTTTACGTTCAAGTCTTAGTATAATACATTCCATAGAAGATATTCGATTGAATGATTCAATACATTCAGATTCTCATCAATCAAGTATGGATGATGATGAACGAACAAATGGATTATCAGCATCAGATGATAATAATATTAATAAATGTGCCATTGACATCCTTATACTTATTTTTTATGGTGGTAAGTTATTTCTTTGTTTTTATTTTTCTCTCTTTGAAGTATATATATTTTTTTTTTAAAATTAGGTAATATCTTTTCAACAGAAGAAGCTTTTGTAAGTGCTAAAAAAACTGATTTTCTCAGTTTTCGTTCAACATTTGATACTGTCCTAAAAAGTCATTATTCACGTGCCGAAGGAAAAATAGCTATACGTTTTGTTGAATGTCGTTCTATATGTATTGAAGCTATAAATTTATTAAGTACTTTATCACCATATGGCGCCTTAAATACAACGTATGACATATCACATAGTGAAACATTACCAATAAATGCAATACCATTATTTGCAATATCCAATCCCGGTTATCAGACAACATTAACAAATGTTATTGTGTCAGCTAATAAAGTTTATCAAGAATTTATATCATCAAAAGAAGGAAAAAATTTTTCTGGACAAGTGAGATAAGATACCAAAAAACAAAAAAATTTTTTTTTGAACAAAAAAACAAACATTATATTTCAGGTTGTTATTATTGGAGATGCTAATGGTGCAATTTTAGCTTATGATTCACTATGTTTAAATCATACCTTCGAAGATACAACATCATTATATGGTGAAGGTAAATCTATTAAAATCAGTAATTCATAAGTGTAATAATTGAGAGATTAGAAAAAGAAAAACAAAACGTTTCGAAAGATCTTAGTAAATATTTTATTTAGATGTTCTCTAATTGAGTCGAGATCCTATATAAGATTATGAAATATTGAATTTTTATGTTTTTGCTTTTATTAGATGCATCAACACCACGTACACCTGCACTTGATAAACGTACCCGAAAAGATAGTAGTGAGACCTATTCAGGACAATCATCAAATCGAATAAGTACAAAAAGTACACCAACAAATGATAGTGTCGAAACCAACGATAACTCGTAAGATTTTACTAATATTTTCTTATAAGAAATATTTCAAATTAGATCATATTCTAGTGATAGTCTTCGTAGTAGACAAGAAAATTCTAGTATTATATTAGCATTTGATGTCAACGAATTTTTTTCATTTGGTTCACCTCTTTCACTTATTCTTGCTTATCGACGAATGGTTACTGAAAGTGGTAAACGATTTTTGTTTTGCATTTCTTATTAAACATATAAATATGTATTTTTCTTTTTTTTTTTAATAATAAATTAGTTGTTCGTCCATATTGTGGACAATTGTATAATTTATTTCATGCTTGTGATCCAAATGCATGTCGTATTGAACCATTAATACAATCAGAATTTAATCATATACCTCCATGTTGTATTGCTCGTTATTCACAATTTCCTTTAGGCGATGGAGAATCAACATTACTTAGTAAAAAAATATTTCTTCTCTTATCTTTGTTTGAAATTGTTTTTTTTTGTCAATTAAATAGTTGAATATATTCATCAATATTCAAATTTATTTTTAAACAATAATAATAATGCAAATCAATTATCAAATGAAATTACTACTGTTTTCTCTGATAGTAAGAAATAAAAAATTTTTTTCAATTGAAAAATCAAATAAAATTTTTTCAATAATTCTAGTTCGACAAAATTGGTGGGGTTCAAGACGTGTTGATTATATTGTTTATTGTCCGGAATTTTTAATGAGTCAACCAGCACATGTTTTACCTATTGTTTTTCATTCAAGTTATTGGGAATCACGCGATGTTATGTCATTTATTTTACGAAATGTAATTATTCTTCTTTTGTCATTTTAACATGTTAATCTTTTTTTGTTAATTCTTTCATATAGATTACACGTAATCAAGAACAATTTCAATTTTTTAATAGTCAAACTAATATGAATCCATGTTCATTTGCACCTGTGAAACCAACTGAACGTTGGTTACATCGTACAACAGGTGTTAAAATACGGGTATGAAACGTTTTTTTTTTCTTTCTAAGATTTCAATTTATTATTAAAATTTTGCAATCTAAATTTTTAGAATTTAGCACCAAATCATCGAGGAAATGATACAATGGTTGTTGATGCACGACCACAAACAATTCATGCAAAATTTCATTATGGACCTATTGATATGGTTTGTTTAGTTAATGAAAAAGTTGATATTTATGTTATGAGATTTGCTCCATATGGAGAATGGACATTACTTGATTCAGTTGAAACAGATACTCATGGTCGTATACGATATACAATATCTGATGATAAAAAATTACCAGTAGGATTACATCCTGTTAAACTTGTTGTTCGGTAAAAAAAATTTCTTTTGTAATTCATTGAAAAAGTCTTCTAAATATAAGAAAATTTTCCTTTAAGTGGTGATCATACAACAGTTGATCTTTATCTAACTGTATTACCACCAAAGAGTGAAGCAGTTATATTTAGTATTGATGGTTCATTTACTTCAAGTTTTTCCGTTAGTCATCATGATCCTAAAGTACGACCAGGTGCTGTTGACGTCGTAAGGTAAAAATAAAACAAAAAAAATTTTCTATCGATAAAAATCTTAAAATATATTTGAAAAAAATAGATATTGGCAAGAATTAGGTTATATTATTATTTATGTAACAGCACGTCCTGATATTCAACAACGTCAAATTGTTCATTGGCTTGCACAACATAATTTTCCTCATGGTTTCAAAAACAAAAAAAAAAAAAAAAATAATTATAAATGTTTGAAAGTTTTGTTTTTTTATTATTTTTAGGTATGACATTATTCAATGATGGTATATATCGTGAACCAATTAAACATAAAGCTGAAATGTTACGAAATGTAGTTGAAAATGCTGATTTAATTATAACAGCTGCATATGGTTCATCAAAAGATGTTCCTGGTTATCAATTAATACATGTACCACCAGAAAAAACATTTGTTGTTGGTAAAATTAAAAATCGTTTACAAGGACAAGCACGTTTTCTTACTGATGGATATGCCTTACATTTAAGTAAGTATAAGATCATTGAGTATACGAGGCAAACAAAAAAAAAAAATTTTTTTTGCATTCAATGTATCACTGTCTGAAACTGCCAATTTCAAAATTTTATTGTTCAATGTTCTGGCTTTATATACTTGAAAGTTTGGGTTTGGGGGGAACAGATAGTTCACATCCTAGAGTAAAGCGAAATAGATGTGACATTTGGAATCAAATATAGTTTAGAGAAATTTTTTGTCCTGCGAAAAGCTAACTTAACAAGCAAAGTTTTAATGAAAGAGACTACAGATGAGTTTTTGATGTTGATTCCGAATGTTGTGTTTGCTTGGTAAGAAAAACTGCTAAAACAATTTCATGTTCTACAAAATAAGTCTCTTGCTGTGGTTTGCATCGTTTACCGTGTTCGAGCAATTGATACTTTGTTATATTATTTTGATGTCTTATTTTTAGACATTTGGTAATTTTAATTCATTTTAAAGATAATTTAGAATCTTTCAAGTTTCGAACGAAATCTTGGAAGTTGATTATATTTGATTCTCTATTTACTATAATAAAAAAAATCGAATAATTCGTTGAAAAGAAAACAAGTATAACTTTTACTGAATATGTTTTGCTGGTGTGTTTTTTTTTCTCATAAAGATATGATAGTGATAAAAAGTTGATATTGATTAACTTTTGAAAGATCAAAAAAAATGTTGAGATTAGCTATTTTAGATATTGATGCACAAAAAATATTTTTATCTCGAGTACCATTGTTAATTTCATGATTGTTCTCTTTTAATAATTAATATTATCTCTAGCTGAACTTTCTAAACCGGGTATGGTTCGACCATCAAAATCAAATTCTCGTCATTTAATACGTCGAGCTTGTTTTAATTTACCTAAATTATCAACAATGACAGCTGCTCAATCATCTACATCACTTATTAATACAAAACAATCAAATTCACCAACATTACAACATCCAGTTATTGATCAATCATTATCAGCACCATTAATACATCGAAGAATAAATTTCTATGATGATACAAATGATCCTCAACAACATCATCGTTTGATGTTAACTACATCACAATCAAAAGAATCTCCATCACGTGGTATTTCACCGCGTAT